AGTAACAAAAATTAAAAAAAAACACAAACGAATGGAGAATCTCGCCCTTTTTGAAGTCGATTAAATAAATTGCAATTGAAATCGTTTATGTTAACACATTCAGTGCCAACGAATTATTAATTTTCATTCGAAAAATCTTGGTGGCATGAAACGTGTTATTAGTGCGTATCTTCATTGGCTATGAATCCAGTTTGACCCGGTATTGCGAGAAGTCATAGCATTTCCTGACTGATTTTTCAGATAGGAGTCACAGTAATAGACAAGAATTTGATACAATACTTACTGATATATCTCTAAGCTATCAGCTGTGCTGGAATTGGATTCAATATCAGCGTTAACTCCTGGGCTATACAATTTAACTAAACAATTAATTAAACGGTGACAGTTTACTTCGGCGCGACTCTTTGACAAGAACTGTAAACAACATATTAATTTAAATAGAACTAATAAATTATTATTTTCCATGAGGGACCGCTGAAATAATATTAATTTTATTATTTTTAGTATAATGCTAAAACATGAACGATAGGGTGAATACACAGTGTTCAACCCACCTGGACAATTTTAGTTAATGTTATTGCTTTGGTGGCGCTCACTGCATGAGGGTAGGTGTTACTGCACGAATTGAACTTAGATGTAAACTTTTTATAACTTAAACCCATCAAGTTATTGTAGATTTCTACTAACCTGCAAAAAATATGAACTGATTTTTTGAAAAATATTAAAAACTCAACCAACATGCTAAATGAAACCGACTGCGTGTTGAGTAGGTGGCAGTGAATGTGTTAAATAACCAACATCTTATTAATGCTATAAATGCGAATGTTTGGTTGGATGAATGTTTATGGGTATTTCCACGACGGCTGAACGGATCACGATGAAATTTGACATGGATGTAAAATAGTCTAGAAGAACACACATACTACTAATTTAGTATTTTTTATTTGGCGCGAATGGAGTCGTTGACGGCATCTAATAATTTTATAAATCACAACTCACCGCAAACATGATTCGAGCAGTTTCCGAGAGTCTTCCCTATGTAGGCAGGTATTCAATATAGTTGCAATAAGACTATAGATTGACTGTAACATTGTAAACCGACAGCCACACAGTCTGTCAAATATATGATCGTGTTTGCTTATTAACAAATCGTTCTCCTTTTTTAATCTCGCCAACTTTGGATTTAGTTTATAAAAAGATTTCACTAATTTTGTTAAATATTCAATTATTTGTTCTAGCACCTTAAAAATAAATACATAAAATCATTCCAGTAACTTTCCTACCTCTATGACCACAGACTATTATAATTATCAAAAAAGAAACATAATAGGAAATATACAAAAAAAAATCGAAGCTCATTAATTAAGCATAAGGAATATGTGCAGAAAAGAGCACGGACCTAGACTCTGTAGATGTCGTTTGTTTTAAGAAAAATAACTAGTATTATTCGAATAATACTAGTTATTTTTCATAAAATTGTCTTTACATGCGTATACTGAAAGAAAAATTCTAAAAGTAAATATTGTATATCGTTTAATTAATGAAATACTTTACCTGTAAATTAACTAATTCCATAATATAGCTACGATTTAATGAATGCGGTAAACCCCCATGAGTAGATTTCCATTTATTATCACAATCTGATATCACTTTGGTTATTGCAAAACAAACTGCTTCCATCTCCCGCGAATGCTTGAACAGTTCTTCCTCGTCCGATGTTTCATCGTTTAACCACTTACTACTGTTTACTTTTGTCGAAATCATATTTACAACTATGACTTATTTAATTGTTAAAATATATATTAATTTCTTGTCTATTAATGTGTTATAGACTTAAGTGATAAACATGTCATGTCGTTTACAAGAATAAGGAAAGGAAGAAAATAAATTCAATCTTTTTTCTTTGCTTCTACAGAGTAACTAATGTTATATTTTTACACAATGGCACTATGTTTGTAAAATTTAGAAAGCTAATTTAAATATTGTAGGTTGTGTGCTGTTTGGAAGCATATTTGTGACTAGTCTGCATAGCATTGTGAGGGTTAAAATCGATGTGGAGACGTCGGTACCAGCTGTCAAATGCAAAGTTCGCGTCTAAGCCCTTGTACTACAAGCGAATACCAAGTATTAAATTTTTTATTGTTGTTTGTCCTCGACCTTAAATGGACTAATTAATTATATATACAAACATATTTGTCGATATAAAAATCTTAATAATAATCTTCTATATATCTATATATAAAAGAAAGTTGTGTTAGTTACACTATTTATAAGACAAGAACGGATTTACCGATATGGTTGAAAATTGGTGAGGAGGTAGCTTAGAGCCAAGAGAAGGACATAGGATACTATTTATTCATTTTTTTCGAATTTATGCCTTGAAGTGCTGTTTTTTATTTAACTTATCTATATATTTAGTTTTTTATATATCCACGCGGATGGAATCGCGGCCGACAGCTAGTATTATATAAATGCGAATGTTAAGATGGATGGAAGTTTGTTTGAAGGTATCTCCAGAATGGCTCAACGGATCTCGATGAAATTTGGCAGGGATGCAGAACATAGTCTGGAAGAACACATAGACTAATAATTTTTTTTAAGATCCGCCTAGTAGTGAAAATTTACTATTATTATGCTTTTTTAATTTGCGATTAAAAACATAATCAGTGAGTTTTATAGTATTAAAGTAAGCTAATCGTTAAATACTTTATGCATATAGATGTTAAGTTTGAATTGGGTTAAGGTGAGATCAAGGCGAATGGCGTTATTTACGTAACAAGCACCTTGAACTGTGGGATTCATTTGATTTACTTCATTCGTTGCATCAATGGTTAGTGATAAAATTCATAAAATTAAAAGAAATAATAAAACATATAATTTTTTCTTTGTTATTTACATATACGACAAATAAACGGAAATAATCTCTTTTTTTAATTGTAAAAAAAAACAAATGTTTATATACCATATCTATATATCCAAGTTGTTCTGTAAAAAATGGTAAATATTATTTTAGTAAAGTTTTATTTTCAGATATGTAATAAAATAATACAAAATGAGTAATTTAATAAACGTATCTTTTTCCATTATAAAAGAAAGTGATTCATCCGTGCCTTTACGTGATCAGAACGAAATGTGAAAACATTTTTTATTGCGTTCTATTTTATTTCGACATATCACGAAATCTTAATAAATAGTATTAGTTAAGTTTCGAAAGTAGAATGCTACTGCTATCATGTGAAAGTAACTTTTAAAACATTTAATTTGAAACTTAAATTATATTATATTTCAATGATTAGTTTTTAAATCAACTATGTAATCTTACTAATATTATAAATGCGGTTGTTTGTTTGAAGGTATCTCCAGAACGGCTGAATTTAAGAACACATATGCTATTAATTATTTTATTAATTCCGCGCGGTCGGAGTCACGGGCGACAGCTAGTTTGTTATTAAAGTGTAGAATAGTCCTAATTTCTATAGGAAAATTAGGGTGAAGATTTAAAAAAAATGTTATATTCACAAAACTTTATTTCGCGAAACAATTAGATTAAAATGATCCCATACTACGTTAACAAAATATTTCACTGCTTGATCAATGAATTGCAAAGCAACGTTTAGGAAGAAAATATCACAGTAAACAATTTATTACCTAACAACATTCATTTTAATGTAAATTAGCTTATATACCAACCGATATAATACATAATATAATAAGGTAATAAATGAATTTTAAAATAATCTAAAAATCATGTGTAACACTGATTTTTTTTCTATTGTCAAAAATATGTTTAGCTTTTTTCATTTATTGAATTTAAATATTATTTTTAAATGGTGAAAATAGACCTCCATGTCTAAAATCAAAATAGTTTTTATTTCGAATACATACTAATAAAAATAAAATTAAACATCAAAATTGAATTACGATATTTTTTAAATCGAGTCCTACTTTTTTTTTAATTTTTATCTTCATTGAAGACGTCAAATGAATATCCATTATTTTTTTGCGTACATTTTTATTCCTAAAATCTAGGATATTAAGCTTTGTGTAGAAAAATATTTTACAAGGGTTTTTTTTTTGTTTTTCACAGTAAACAAAACATATTATTTAAAAATTACTAAACATATTTAACGGTTGTTTAACACAATTATTTCTGTATTTCAAATGATTTTATCGATGCATGAAGACGAGAAGCACCAAATTATAATTAACTAAAGATTTGCTTGAACTAATGATAGACAACTAATTAACTTTATGAATAAAAAAATATTAACTTAGAATTTAGTAAAATAATGAAAATCTTAAATTATAATTAATAGATTATAAAACTATTTTCATAAATTAATAAGTGGTCTATTTTTTTATAATAATGATGTGTTAATTTTGACGAAGAAATTTTATATACCAATATGTATTCCATTATGTATGAAAAACAAATTATATATAATGTATTTAGCAAAAGAGCTGAGAAAATATATAAATTTATGTCAATACATCGATATTTTTATATAATTGCATTTAAAGCTATATTAAATTCAAAATTTCATTTCACTCTTAAAATCATGAAATATATTTTTCTATATTTGTTGAGTACAATATATACTAGTTGCTCCTACAACTAAATAGTCAGCATGGGTAGGTTAGGTTTAATTTTTTTTCTTTTAAATCGATTGACTTGCACCAAAACATAACATTTCAAATTATATAATCTGTGCCATATTGAAAACCTTGTAGATAATATGAACAACAAACTCATATTTAAAAAAAAAAACCTAGTGGTTAACTGAACCATTCACTAATTATCTTAATCTACTTTTAAAAAGCAAACTTGTTATACAATAATGCAAAAATATATATCTACTTTATAGGTAAAAACAACAAAACTCGATTTTATGTAAGAAAATAGTTAACTTTCCTTAACACTTAACATCCTGTAACTAAGAAAAGAACTATTGGAACTTAGTGCTATTCAAACTTAACAATTTGTATTGCTTCGTTATACTTAGAAGCTATTTAAATGTATAACAAGTGAACACACAGTATTTCATTTACAAAGATAAAGGCCCTTACATATTAACAAGCCAAATAGAACAAAGGATAGAAAAATACATAAAATTCATTCCAAGTCAAATTTTCTAGTTCATGTATTGAGGAACAAAAAAAGGTTTAACATTTTCTAAACATTGTTACAAATTATATGATGAAAAAATTTAATGCCGTCTCGAGATTTTTGTTGTCAAATCAAATAATATAAATAACTAGCGGACCCGACAGACGTTGTCCTGTCTTTAATTTGAATAAATTAATATGAAGTTAATATTTGATGAAAATTATGAATCTAAACCATTCCCAGATCCCCTTGAACACACACAAAAAATTTCATCAAAATCGGTCCAATCGTTTGAGAGAAGTTCAGTGACATACACACTCACAGAAGAATTATATATATAAAGAAGATAATACAATATAGTATTTATAGAGAGATAATTCCAAAATAAACATAATAGTCTAATCTTACATTAAGATTTTTTAAGTGAACTTGATACATTTTTTAAAACAGCATACTACTTTTTTAATTTTTTATTTTTTCACTAACCCCCCAAATTGGGACTTAAGTACCCCCTTCCCTTTTTAAAGTCAACATATGTCTTTGTTCCTTATGATCTAATATTAAACATTAGCTTTTATTGACATTCAAAAGAGCTGATGCTGGAAAAGGACACTATATATTTGTAAGGGCCCATTTAAAATTCACATTAAAAAAGCATCACTATACTTACGTCAATCCGGCATATCTATACTGGTCACCGGCACCACCGGTTTCATTGCTTCGTTTTTCTTTTGATTCTTTTGTGATTTTTTATCTTTTACCTTTTTATGTGTCTCCTCGTCTCTGTACGGCTCTTGTGTGACAGGTTCGCTCGGCATACTTGAGCGGTTTACATTATTATTGTATGCTATGTTCGCATATTCTTGTAATAAAGGAAATACTGACAGTAGAAACTGACAGAAATCTTTCCTTATACCAAACCACCCTGGAAATAAAAATATGTAAAAATTCATCAAAATCTTTGAATTTAATTACTGAGTTCAACATTTATCTTATTGATATAAATACGAAAGTTTGGATGGATGAATGGATGTAATCTATTTATCTCCAAAAAGGCTGAATGTATCTTGATGAAATTTGGCATACATGTAGAATATAGTCTGGAAGAACACATAGGCTACTTACCAATTTTAAATTATTTCTCGCGGATTAGAATCTATTACATTTTTAAGTATGTCATAAAAATGTTTACTTACATTTGTTACCTCCTTTAGAACTGAAGGACATAACAATGAGGGTAGCGTAGCTAATAAACAGTGGGCTTACAACCACGATATAAGAAAATGATGATAATTCATCACGATTATCCAATTTATTTGTTAGAAGCACCTACGGAAAAAAAAAACTTCTGAATGTGTACTTTAATATAAAACCTAGGAGATCTAAATAATAAAGAGATTTAATTTCTAATACCAATATAATAATTTAGTATCACATCAATTCAGTCAATTTCTTGTGGTAAATTGGATATAAAAAAATATGTAACGTCAAAAAAAGGCATAGCAATTTTTTTTTAAGTCATCCGTTGCATAACTCAAACATGATTTTTTAATATATGTTTTGTTCTGGCAATGTCACCGACATATTTTCATATTAAACATTTAACAAAACATATAAAAAATCGACATATTTAATACCATATTACCTACAGAGACCAATAATGTATATGTTAACTCATATCACTAACGAGTTACTCATTCTAACCCAGCCTTTAACGGTGACCTAGTTTATTTAATTAAAACAGTTTTATGCCTTTTTAATTGGTTATTGCCTAAGTTACCAACCATAATAGTAGACTGAAACTAGTCCGAGAATGGAATTTATTTCATTAAAATTCCTATAACATAATTCTTACAAGATTATTCTAGTTAAAGTCTGATAAGTCTGACCAATATGTATTAAATTGTCCCACTTGTATCAACTTAATTTTCTTATACCAATAAAGTCGAACCTGGATTAGCAAGAGCCAAAGCGATTGTAATATTTTTCTCACTTACTCTCCTACCCGAGTTTCTCGCTTATAAAGGTTGTCCGTTGCGATTGGACAACGACTCTTGCTTACAGTGGTGTCTTGCTTATCCAGGATCGACTGTACTTTTATAATGTATCACTATAAATTTAAATATTTCAGAAAATATCTTTTATCTCTTTTATGTAATAAAATGACCAAAAGTGAAAGGTCCTTAACAATTCAATCAAAATCAAATTAGATTTATTCCAATTGCTAATATAATTTTATATAACATACCTGGAACACTAATATTGGTATGACAGTAAATGTGTAAGCCAGTGCTGTATTGAAGCTAGTCCGTCGTTGCTGTACATTGACCTCCGGTGTTCGTAACAATATACCAGCAAATATTATACTGTATAAGACCCCTAAAATGTTTTAACTTATTATTAATAATTATTTGGATAGTATAGAAGTACAAATTGAATATACAAATTAGTTTAAGCCAACATTTGTAAGCTTTTAGTCTCAATCTCTTTAAATAAATCATCATCATCAACCTACCTTGACCCCTATTGAGGGTCGGCACAGTATGTACTACTCCATACATCTCTATCAGCCGTCGTATACGAATCTACCCCCTTCCTACACATATCCTCTTTCACACAGTCATTCCATACTTTTTTTTTGTCTTCCTCTACCTTTGTAGCCATCCACATTCAATCTCATTACTTTTTTGCTTATATCACATCATCCCTCTGCATAACATGTCCAAACCACGCTAATCTTTTACTCCTCAATTTCTTGATTACTGGCGCTACTTTCAAACTTCCTCTAATATACACATTTTTAACTTTTAATAAATAAAGATAACAATTTGTTTTTGTATCTCATTTTGGAAGAAACCTACTGATGAGACATACAAACAGAATATATCTAAAAAAATGTTATAAATTTCCGTAGACTGATGATTAAGTTAATACATATAGTTTCCTTAGTGAGTACTTAAGTAGTACTAATAATTAATAATTAGCCTTAAAATCAATACAGATTACAAAAAAATAAATTAATCACAACAATTACTATGCCATCTAAAAATAAGTTTACATGCATCTTATTTACTTAGGTGATATCTAAAATGTAAATGTAATCAGAGTATGAATATTTGTTATTCAATGATGGTGAAATGAAAGGAAGGAAATATGTTATGATAATAATAATGGATGGGTGGATTAGTTGATTTAAAAATGATAAGAAAGTATATAAAAAGCATACATACACTCACCTACAAGGCTCAGGCACATTAGTATCCATAATGGCACAAACACAACCTCCCATGACCAATGTATAAAGGTGTCAAGCTTTAATGCCAAGAATATAAACTGTAGAATATTTACAGCACAAAATAATTCAAGCTGAAATAAAAAATAATAATTTATTACTTCATAAATATATCCACATAAATTGTTTGAAATATGTTTTTAAAGAAAAAATTTAACTCAGAGGTAGTTATTGTTGGCTTCGGCAATAACATATTATAAAGAGGCATAAAACATGTGCCAATTGCAACATGTTTTTATCACTGCATATATTATACCATATTATATTATTAAATGGCACTCATTATATTAATTAATTGCACTATATTGTGTGATATCTTTTGTAGATTACTGTAATTGAATGAAGTAACAATTAACTAAATATTTATTTTAATAACAAGCTGTTGCCTGTGACTCTGTCTGTGCGGAATAAACAAAACATAATTTATATCCTATGTGTTCTTCCAGACTGTTCTATATGTATGCTAAATTTCATCAAGATCGGTTTAGCCATACTGGAGATAGCTTTAAACAAACATCCATCCATCTAAACATTTGCATTTATAAAACTAGTAAGATTAACATTAAATACATACCTCATAGCTACGATCATGTTTCACAGACCATATGCAAATTGCAATGGATACAATACTAATGAATATTAAAGGTATGAAAACCAGTATCCATAAATGTCTGCTAGTACTCAACTGGTCGCATACAAGGAGTTCAAACATCAACAAGATTAAATGTATAGCAAGACTTATTAGCATAGCTTTATAGTGAATGTATGCTTCACCTTCTAATCTGCAAATACGAAGGAAATGCATTAAACTTTTTTATTAGTTGGTATGACCCACATTATTATGTTTTTCCATTGTAAAAATGAATCACACTGAAAATACATTAAACACCATATAGTTAAACATTTTACATAAAATATAGTCTTCCTGTATAAAGTCTGTAAAATATTTTGACTAGTTATTTTTTAATCCAAATCATGTGCCATGTATAGTGATACTATGTATAGTAATAAAAAATATAAATAATGTGTTGTACAAACCTGAAGTGTGGGTACTGCCACCATACATACGTGCCAACTATGGCACCAAGAACAACTAAAAATTTCCATATCCATATGGGGGTAAACACAGCCCAGTACGACCATGTAATAGTTTTATCCAATTTCAAAGCCAATAATGCAGTAAATATTAGCAAACAAGTGTGCACCACGAATTTGCTGTAAAAACAAACAATATTTGTCAGTAGTGATGTTAGTATAGTAAAAAGGCTTACTTTACACAAATGTTTATTATTTTACCTAGGATTAAAATCCTGAAACAATGTCTGTAAATTCATTTCCATGCACATTAGGTCAATAATTATTTTAATAACATTTCATTTTATAACACTGTTGATTAGCTTCATTTATTTTTGTGAGCGTAAATTAATTGTGTCACATAACACCAGCACCACAGACAATTTTTATTTTTAAAAAGTCAAAGTCACAGACACAGAGTATGACAAGAATCTTAACAGTTGCGTACATTACATTACATTACATTTTATATACTCTTTGGTTGCGTAGTGACGGCAACACGTTATATTGGAGTAAAAATGGTAGGAGTCGAATGGTAACCATGGTAAGATCCAATTTAAAAGACAATCAATCAAAATCAAGTTGTCAATGTCAAATTTTAAGAAGGTTTGCTGTAGGGCTTGTAAGTTAAATTATAAATCGGATTTTTAATAGTAAATACTAAAATACTAGACACAATCTAAAGGCATTGTAACTATTATATACTAGTATTAAGCAAAAATGGCTTCTCCGTCTCCAAAGTCGCCCGAACAGAGTGAAAAGAACAAACAATATGACCGGCAATTACGGTTGTGGGGTGATCATGGACAAACTGCTCTTGAAAATGGACATATTTGTTTAATAAATGCCACAGCTTTAGGAACTGAAATTCTAAAATCTATAGTTTTACCAGGCGTAGGCGCTGTTACTATAGTAGATGACAATATTGTAAGCGACGAAGACATTGGAAGTAACTTTTTCCTAGAATGTTCAAGTAAGAATTTGAATAGAGGTTCAGAGGCGCTGCGATTGATAATAGAGCTAAATCCAGCGGTACAAGGGTATGCAGTTCAAGAACCTACTGATCAAATCTTATTAGACAATCCAGACTTCTTTAAAAAATTCAGTGTGGTGATTGCTACATCTTTAAGTGAAAAAACAATACAAACTCTATCAAACCATTTGTGGGAGATAAATGTTCCCTTCATATTATGTAGATCTGTTGGCTTCTTAGGTTCGTTTAGAATTCAATTAAAAGAACATGCTATTGTAGAAAGCCATCCTGATAATGAACAACATGATCTTCGTTTAGATGTCCCCTTCCAAACTTTATTTGACTATTTGAATAGTTTTGATATAGATTCATTGGATTTGAAAGATCATGGTCACATACCTTGGATTGTTATTCTATACAAAGCAGTTCAAAAATGGAAAATCTCAAACTCAAACAGATGGCCAATGAGCAGAAAAGAAAAAAATGAGATCAAAGCAATTATAGATCAGTATAAGAGACTGGATGATAATGGAATGCCAATTTATGAAGAAAATTTTGAAGAAGCTCTCAGAGCTGTTAATACTGCGCTGACACCAACATTTCTACCAGTAAAAATACAAGAGCTCCTGTATAGCAGTTCAGCAATAAATTTAACAAAAGAAAGTTCACCTTTTTGGATCATGTGTTCTGCATTGCGGACTTTTGTTGAAGCTGAAGGGAAAGGAAAGCTTCCAGTTAGGGGTACATTGCCAGATATGACTGCATCAACAGATCACTATGTTACTCTGCAAAATATTTACAGAAACCAAGCAGCAATTGATTCAGAAATAGTGTACAGGAAGGTCCAAGAAATTGTAACCCAATTGCACTGTGACCATATAAGTGAATCTGAAGTGAAATTATTCTGTAGACATGCTCATGACTTGCATCTCATAAAAGGGTCTAGTATAGTAGGAGAATATCAGTTTAATAATACAGTATCATCTTACATTGCTCGATTTTTAGAAGAACCAGATGTTATGATGGTGCATTACATTCTACTCAGAGCGGCTGAGATGTTCCGTTCCGAACATTGTAGAGCTCCAGGTGAATGGGAACCAGAGAGTGATATATCTAAGCTGAAAACCTGTGTCTCTAAGCTATTAACAGATATATCTTGTACACCATTTCCTAAAGATGACCACATACATGAAATGTGCAGATATGGTGGAGCTGAAATTCATAGTGTTTCAGCATTCTTAGGTGGCTGCGTGGCTCATGAAGCTATAAAAATTGTCACCAAACAATACAAGCCTGTGAACAACACTTTTATTTATGATGGTGCATCAACTAATACTGCCACTTTTACATTCTAATTGTGATTTGAATAATGCAATAATAGTTTTGAAAACTGTAATACTACACTATTTATAACATTAAATGTTTATGTTCAACAAACTATTGTTTTTTCTCTTACAATTAATCATAACCCATGACAATAAATCTTTATTGCATGAATGGACTAGTGAGATGGGGTTGTAAAATTTATCAATTTAAGATGTTCAACAAAACAATTACATATACAAATGTTGGGGTGTTTCCCATTGTGGCATTTCAGTCCATAAAATAAAAAGAATCCCATTTGGCCAATCGGCCCAATGTGAAACACCCAAGATAGGTACTATTTCAGCTTAGGAAAAGTCTATTTTTATTCAGAATGGATTAAAGAAAGGTGTGTGAGAGACTACTATCAATATGGAATATAAATAAGGCATATTATTCATCAAAGTTGTGTATTTCCAGTAAGGATCATAATCATTTATAACCTTAATATCAAGATAGAAAAGAAATGTCAGAAAACATTTTTCAGTAACAATTTCAACATAAATTACATAAAATAAAACATATCACATGACTAAGAATAATTGAAACAAACTATATATTTGGCTAAAATCCACATGGCAGGATCTTTAGGTTATACCATCTTAACAACAGTAGGTTTTATTTTATAAATATATGCCGGAGACTAGACTGTCTCTAAAACATACAACACAACATTGACAATTTCTCTTTATTTACCTACTTATTTCACCTTAGCCATAATTTCAATCGCAATGCATCTACACCATTGAGATAATATCGAAATAAGCGTTTGTCCCTGACAAAACCCAAGTTCTCGTATAACTTCAGCGCAGGCTTGTTTGTTATTTCAGTTTCCAGCACAACTTCATCAGCATTGTCATTGATCATTGCCTGTAACAGTTTAAAAATATTTTTTTAATAGTGAGAATATGACAGAAATTATAGCATGTAAAATTTATTTTTTTTAAAAAGAAGGTGAAAATGAGCAGTGTAACCAAGCATATCCAATACCATTCTGCCACCTAAGCTTATTTTAACCAATCTACCAATCTAAGCATATTTAGGCCATGAAAAAATAAATGTTTCTGTTGTAAAAAATAAAAATGTACCTGTATCGCCTTTTCTACCAGCCGAGAACCAATCCTCCGTTTTCTGTATTGTTTGTCAACAGCCAACATTGCAATGTAGCCTCTTTTTACAACATTGCGATGCATATCTAACTTACATACAATGGCACCAATACATTTCCCTTCATGTGTTGCTAAAAAGCAAAGCTTAGGCCAGTTGTGTATAAAATATCTATAAGTATAGATGGAGTAAGGTTCAGATAAATCTTTTTGTATTAGTCTCATAATCTCTGGCATTTGTAACTCAGATTCATATGATATAATATCAATGTCATCTATCTGAGCATCTCCAGAATGGCTGGACTTGTGGCATTCACCTTCCCCATTGTTATGTGATGAGCATGCTGCTTCACTGTTACAGTTACCTGCTAGTGGTTCATCTGTACATTGTAATCTATTAACATGTTTTGTAACTTCACAGAGAACTGCGTCTTGTGCTTCGGACTTGATAATAGAACCAATGGTCACTTTTTCGACAGAATGTGCACTTGTCCCATTGGTTAAATTACTGTTAACTTTAATATTAAGAGTATTTGCTAATGCTTCGTTTAATTTTTCCTGATTTAAATTATCACTCCTTTCGTCAGTCGATTCTGAAGGATCTTTGGACTTTTTATTTACGTTCTTCGTGCTCTTATATTTCTGATTGCATTTAATATTCTGTAAGTTTTCATCTGACACTTGATTCATATTGATGTACTTCTACCTATTTTATTTACACATTCACACGATGATAAGCTCATAGGAATTCCAGAAAACTTTCCGGATTATACAAACAGTTGCTCGTCAAAATTGTAATAGACTATCACCGACATCTTGGGATAAAAGTATTAATTCATTATAAAAGTGATCGGGGTATACCAATTTTCGCTTTAAGATACAAGTGACGTTTATTAATAAAATCTCTAATTAAGAAACAATTCATATGAAAATATGTCTAGAAATATAGTAAATTTACGAGAAGTCCAAGTCTAAGCCTTCCACAATCACATTGCAAAAAAGAACAATGTTGCCATATCACAAATTATAGAGCTTGGCAGGACGGCTTATCCAACGTTCATAAATAAATCTGAAAGTCATGCAAGAACATTGGAAGGTTATATGCGAAACAAAAATGAATATTTAAAATAAGGCAATCTGATTATTCTCAAAAGTTTTGCCATCATTATTTTGTTCTTATATTCAAGTAGTTTGTGTTGGTTATAAAACATTTCAAATACGACTGAATCGATCTTAATTTTTTTATTTGCTTTTCATGTGTTTGAATGTGTCCCTGGATGTTTTAGAATTTAGATTTATAATTTGGTCGTAAGATGGCGATGTAATCGAGTTTCATAAGTTGTTTTCATTTTATGATTTATGATTTATTGTAAAAAAATTATGTTCATATTTAAGCAGTGAATTAATCCAGTCCAGTTAGTAAAACAATAAATTTAAATTCAATTCGTTCATTAAGTCACGGAAACAGGCTTTTGTAGCTAATCAGCTAAAAATATTAAATATATTTATTTTATATGATTGACTATAATATATAGTGACAAGTAACAATGCTCAATATATAGAAAAACTCTATACATCGCATCAAACACGTCTTATATAAATGTAACAATATAGAATACAATAATGTATAATAGTTTAGAATTTCTTTTTCAACAGGCGATTTACAATAGTTTTACTTTCTACAAGGTTTTAAAAAATATTTGAAGAATGTTTACTAAATTAGTTTAAAATATAAAACTAAAAATTAAAAATGCCAACGGCCACTGTTCCCGCCATCCGACCTTAAATTTTCATGGCTTAACTTTGAAATAAAACTGAAATTATTGTTGTTCATATAAGGGCAGGATTTGATTGTTTGCATTGAATAGGGTCCGAAATTATTGGACCGATTTGAAACAACCTTTTACGATGACATAGGCTATATTCCCGGGTGACAT